AAAATAAAAATAAATAAAGAAATAAAGTTTCTTTATAGATATTAATTCGAACATATTGTGATTAGGTCCTTGATTGCCCCGTGATCCTAGCACTTCGATTAGGCCGTCTGTCCTGTGCAATTAAGATAAGTAAATTATGGTAATGCCCTTAAGTTTTCGAAGCATATTTTAATTGTTTTCTGAGATGGTGGCGAGGTTTAAATGGATTTATTTGCATTTGAGCATGATTAAAAAGAGAAGTTGAACTTTTATTATTTTCCTTATTTTCTAGAATTGAGCATGCCCACGTGAGATTCTTCGGTTTATTTTTGAAAGTGAGAACAATCGTGAATTGTGGTTTTCTGTAAATCTTGCTAGGTTTTGTCTCCGATGTGGTCATGTATTTAGTGACCCTACTAGTGGGGGAGGTTTACAAACGCTAGCACATGTCGACATGTTAGTGATAGAACCGGTTTGCTCGTGATATCCTACTAGTGGGATTATACACTAGTAATCGTGTGCCTGTCAGTGGGAGGTTTATAACACTGGCTATGACTAATAGAGGAGACCACTATGTGATTTTAGTTTGCATCAATGGTTTGCTATTGAAATGCTCTGTTTATGTTCAATCGATTATTTGGCATGCTTTAAATTTTGATTCCGGGCACCCATGTTTACTTACTGAGATATTTTTATTTCACGGTTTCCTTGTCCGCCATTTCAGGTAGTGAGACCTGACGTGTGGGAAGCCCAGGGGAGTGACGAGCTAGACGGCTAGGCACTTTTGGACTTAGGTTTTTGTAGCTAAGCCGATAGTCACCCATGCTTGACATAGTAAATTTTGTGTACATAATTTAGTGTTAGTCATGATTGTATATATGAAGTGATAAATTTTGTACATCTGACTGGTAAATATTTGGTAATTAAAAAGGCTTAGATCTAAATTACTTGAATTGCTAAGTATGAACTCAGTAAGTTCCAAGCCTTTTGCATTTGTGGGACCCTCTCACGAGTGTACGGCGTCTGTTGTGCCTCGAATTCGGGTTTTGGGGCGTGATAGATTTTGTGGTATCAGAGCCTAGGTTAATTTAAGAGCCTAGGATTAGTCTAGAACTTGGCTAGCAATGAATTATAGGAACGTGGTGAGGCATGAGAGTGGGGTTGATTAAAGGCACTTGTGTGATTCTTTCCTTAATGTGTGTTGGTTTCCTTTGTTTTGATATTTTTGTGTTGCTTGGTCCTGGAGGTGGAAACTCGTCGGGAAAATTTTCATTGGAACATTTGATTAATAGTCTATAAACCATTAACGGCCCAACGAGCTTGTCCTACTCAGTTTACTTGCCACGTTTGTGGGAAGGTTGGGCACACCCGGGATCATTGCCACACTATTACTGGGGCTTGCTTCAAATGTGGCAAGCAGGGACATCGGATTGCAAATTGTCCCCTATTAGACCCCAAAGCTCAGAGTACTCAACCTACCTCTCCGCAGAGTTCTACCAGTCAGGGAGCGCAGAAACAGAGTACCGGGGTTCGGACAAGAGCCCAGCAGGCGAGAGTGCAAGTGATGACTCACAAGGAAGTTGCGGCTACCGACGTAATCACGGGTACCTTGCCTGTTAACTCTGATTATACGCATGTTTTATTTGATTCGGGTGCATCGCACTATTTTATTGCTCGATCTTATGCTTTGAAACGAGCTTTGCCTGTTGATACCTCTGATTGTGAACTGCATGTGGACACCCCTTTAGGAGGGGTGATGACTACTAAGGAGATGTGTAGGACTGTAGATATTTATATTGATGGTAGACAGCTGAGTGCTAGTTTGTTTGTGTTAGATATCTCTGATTTTGATATCATTTTGGGGATGGATTGGCTGTCAAAACATTTTGCCTCTATAGACTGTCATCGGAAATGGGTAATTTTTAATATTCTTAGTGAGCCAGAATTTAGTTTCCAAGGCAATGGTTTTTTTGCTCCACCCATGTTAGTATCTGCCTTGCAGGCTCAGAAATATCTTGTAAATGGTTGCCAGGGTTTCCTAGTCTCCGTTACTGATGCTAGTAGTGTGACATCGAGACTAGAGGACATATTGGTGGTGCGTGAGTTTCCGGATGTGTTTCCGGAGGATCTCCCAAGTTTACCTCTGGATAGAGAGGTTGAATTTGCCATTGACCTTGTTCCTGGCACCGAACCCGTTTCCAAAGCACCATACCTTATGGCTCTTGCAGAATTGAAGGAGTTAAAGGTTCAGCTGAAGGAACTCCTTGAGAAAGGGTTTATACGCCCTATTGTATTACCTTGGGGAGCTCCAGTGTTGTTTGTCAAGAAGGATGGGAGCATGAGGCTATGCATTGATTACTGGGAATTGAATAAGGTGATTGTGAAGAATTGGTATCCCCTTCCTAGAATTGATGACTTATTTGACCAGCTCAAGGGTGCTCAGGTATTTTCTAAAATTGATCTTCAATCTGGCTACCACCAGTTGAAGATTAAACCGGATGATGTGCCAAAGACTACCTTTCGCACCCGTTATGGTCATTATGAATTCATAGTCATGCCATTTGGCTTGACAAATGCCCCTGCCAGATTTATGGATTTGATGAATCGGGTGTTTAGCAAGTACCTAGATCAATTCGTGGTTGTCTTCATTGACGACATTTTGATCTACTCTTCTAGCCGCACTCTTCATGAAAAGCACTTAAGGACAGTCCTCGAGACATTGAGGAGTGAGAGGCTATTTGCTAAATTTAAGAAGTGTGAATTATGGCTAGACAATGTTGCATTCCTAGGTCACGTGGTGACTAAGGATAGAATCTCTGTTGACCCCCAGAAGATTGAGGCCGTGGTTGATTGGAAAAGGCCAAATAGTGTTGCAGAAATCCGTAGTTTTCTGGGATTGGCTGGTTATTGCCGCCGATTTGTGGGGGATTTCTCTAGAATTGCTCTGCCAATGACTCGTCTTATCAGGAAGGACACCAAGTTTGAGTGGACCCCAGAGTGTGAGAAGAGCTTTTTGACCTTGAAGGAGAAGTTGGTCACTGCTCCTGTACTTGCACTTCTAATTAATGGGGAAAAATTCACTATATATAGTGATGCCTCTAAAAAGGGTTTGGGATGTGTCTTGATGCAAAAAGATAGGGTTATTGCATATGCTTCTCGGCAGTTAAAGCCTTATGAAGAAAATTACCCTACCCATGATCTGGAGTTGGCAGCTGTAGTATTTGCACTCAAGAGCTGGAGGCATTATCTATATGGTGAGACTTGTGAAATCTTCATTGATCACAAGAGCCTTAAGTATATTTTCACTCAAAAAGAGCTTAATATGAGGCAGAGGCGATGGCTTGAACTTTTAAAGGACTACGACTGGACCATTAGCTACCATCCGGGCAAGGCTAACAAGGTAGCAGATGCGTTGAGTAGGAAGTCCTCTGGCACTGCCTCTAGCATCCTTGCCACTCA